AAAAATAATTAACTAAAATCTCCATGGAGGTTGATCAACCAGTCCAGATAATATCTGTCATTTATGGAAGTCAGCGGGTTGTACAAAAGTCAGCCACTGGTCTCTGCTCTGAATCATATGAATCTAGTCTCCACACTGCCACCGTCTTTCTTCAAGACTCATTCTAATATTATCCTCCCATCTGTGCTTAGATCTTCCAAGTTCCGTCTTCTCTCCATATTTCTCGACCAAAATCATATTTTGATTAATTATGCGTGCTGTATGACCCGCCAGTCACATCTTACTTCTGTAAGATTTGAAGCATTCACGGTATCTAATGTCAATAAACTCTTCTCAGGCCATCAGCGGTTCCAGCTGGTTAAACTGACAGAATTCGAGAAGATTTTATTGAATCATCTTACTCAGGTTGTTCATCCTCAAAGTTTTGGTGCATGAATTATGAAGTTCCTCATCATTCAATTTTCTACAATCTCCTGTCACGTCCTCCACCTTAGATTCAAGCATTCTCCTCAGCACATTGTTCTCAAAAGCACGCAGCCTATGTTCTTTACTCATGAGATAGATCAAGTTTCACACCCGTACAATAGAACGAGTGAAATTTCACTTTTGTATATCCCCTTCTTTATGTGTTTCGGAATCACAAGGAATTACAAAAAAATAAATAAATAAATAACTGAATGGTAGCAAGCATTCTCCCGAATTTAATCTGAATCAGTTTGTTCAGGGATATGTGTGGCTAGTAGGTCACTGTCGCTTCCAGATACCTGACGTTTGTGACATTTTCGAGGGATTTATTACCGCGAAAAATAAACGCAAGAAAATAAACAAAAATTACGATAACAATTGCACGATAGGAAAACCCCAAAAAGGGCCCACAAAGAGGTGGTATTTTCAAGATAAATAGTGCTCTTATTAGAAACATAAAAATTGAAAAATACTATTTGGAGGAGCGGGGCACATAGAAGGAACGGAACCACTATGGTATTTTAACGGAGGGACTGCGGAAATATCAGGTCAGCGTAGATGTCCCGCGCTCAATGTTTCCTGCAAGTCAGACTCGTTGTCACTGTGATAACCTGCTCCGAATAACGAAGAAAACTCTATCATTTGCCGCTTCGTAAATTTCTGCATTTTGGTGGATGAACGTGGGAAAGAACTGCAGTCCATTCAAGATGGTCTGACTGCGAGACTGAAAACTTCTTATATCACTAACACTCTCTCATCATACGTGATTTGCTTCAGGCAACGTTTAGATTCGCGGTAGGTGTTTAGGAATTACATCAGTAAGGTCACGGCACACTTACGCATGCGTATATAAGGTCGTGGTATCCTTCAGTTACGGCTTTGTCTTGACTGGACACGATTACATTTATTTCAGTCACACGGCACAGGCTATTCTTTTCTATATCAGGTTAGCAGGTAGGCCTGACACTACCATGGGTTTCTTAGCTGCTTCACTGAGCACATGAGCGATTGCCAACTTAATTAGATATTTAAGTAACTGATTAAGGAATAAACTAATTCATTGGTTGACTAAATATTTGATCGCCTGGCTAAGTAACTGCCCGAATAATTAACTAATTGACTAATAAACCAACATATTGACTGATTGACTAACTAAATTACTTCTTAATTATCAACTAGCCTTCTAAATAATTAATCATCTGACTGACTGAGTAAATGAGTAATGAACGAACTAAATAGGTACCCGACTGAGTAACCAATAAACCAATCAATAATTGGAGCTGAATTTTTTTAATAAAATTATTCTGTGCCTGCTCCATCCAATCCTTATTTTCGCATTTTTATCCGATATCTATTTCAATAGCCGATCAGAGTGGCCGCGCGGTCTGAGGCACGAACTGTCTTCAATTGCTCATGGGTTCCAATCCCACCCAAGGCATGGACGTCTGTGTGCATTTATTCTGTGTATAGGTAGAGGCCTTGCGACGGGCTGATCACCCTCCCAAGGGGTCCTACCGACTGTGTATAGGATTAAGAAACTGAAAAAGCGGCCAAGGTCCAAAAGAAG